GCCACCTCCTCTGAGCCGGTGGTCGATTTGTTATTCTTCCTAAACGGGGAGAGGCACCAGGAACACCAAGAGAAATCAGCCCACATAGCCTTTCAACCTTCACATCCGGCTATTCTTCATGCCCTACATATTGGGCTACAAGGGAAAGGCCCACTGATGCCCATTTTAATCACAGTCGTTTAAGACAGTATAACGTGAAGTTATATTGGGTAAGTCTACTTCCCTCAGTGTGTCATGTCAGAAGATGACAACTTTTGGGTCAACCATCGCAGTCCTGCCAACTGTCTATGGAGAAGGTGCGTCCCTCCGACCTAGCTGCAAAGAGTGGGAAGGTGTTCCAGGTGGGCAGCAGAGCTTGGTTACGGTTATGTGGTCCGACGTGATGATTGAGATGGCTCCTGTGCCCAGGAATGAACAAGTGTCAGAGACAGGGAGGGAAAGTGGTGTAGGACGGTCAGATCCCTACTACTGGAATCTTCTAGGAACCGCCAGTGAGTCCTTGGTTGTCTCTCATCCCACGGCATCCTCACACCAGCACAAAAGACTAATATTAGTACCTTCTGTTTACACATGTTGAAAACAAGGCTAAGAAGTGATGTAACTGCACAAGGTAAGTCCACAAGTCGCAGCGCTGAGTCATGAACCAGGTCTGTCTGCAAAACGTCTGCATTTTCTATCACACAGGGAAGAGGGTAGTGTCACCAGCTCCTTGGTTAGTACGAAGATCTGGTCACAGGCCTGTAATTTTGTCATTTTAACTTTTATACTATTGGTAATCTTAAAGATTTTTTAAAAGCATTCCTGTATGCCAGTTTCACGAACGGGATCAAGGAAAAAGATGTTAGCCTAGCATGAGTTTCAATCCCACCCTGGGGTCAGGATAACTGGGGTAAGAGGGAGGTAGGAAGAGAGAAAACTGGACTCACAGCTGTGCAGAGCCATGCGGGTGTGTCAGGAGGAGCAGCAAGTCTTGTGGGGGTGCCTGCCCACTGGGACATTTATTCGATCCTCCTCTTTGTTGAAACCTTGGGGGACATAGGGTTGTTTTGCTGCAGTAGGCAGTTCTGCAGTGGGGCAGCCATGGGGGTGTCGGTCCAGGGTGACTCCCCCTGCACCGCTCAGCTTGGCTTCAGTGATGCCACCTAGACCCCGCCTGTGCTCACGGCTGGCACCGCCACTCCCCAATGTCAGGTCCCGCCTCTTCTCTGGCAAAGCTTTAGTGGTTGTAAGACTTCACTGGCAGGGTGAAGGGGTGAGGAATTCCACAGACGGCCCCTTTCCAGAAGCCTCCTCTGGTGCTTGGAGCAGGGCATTGTCTCCTCTTCTCTGCTCCGAACCCTTCAGCACTCCTCATCTCCTTTCCCAGGTGCTCAGGGCCCCGCCACTAAAAGCACACTCAATAAACATGATGACTTATCAACAGAGTGTTTAGGGCTTTGAATGCTTTGTCTCCTCTTCCAAAGCGGGTTATGCAACTTGTGCCCAGCGCGCCCCAAAGCAGATGCACAAGACTCACATGCCATCAGACACTGTCAAAGAGCAAACAACTCAAAACTACGTTTCTTCCACCAAAGACAGCACCTTTGCTCAAGCTCACCCTTGTATAATCGTAACAAGATTCTCTTTGTTGAGCTGGGGTCAAGGGTGAACACTAGATCTTTTATCTGTTTATATGCAGGTTCCTCTACCCCAAGGTATCTCACCAGTTTTCTTGATTTTAGAAGTTGTCACTTTTCAATTTTCTGTGCCAAAGGAATGCGGAAGTAGTACAGTGGGCTCAGTTCCCAAATCACCTATATTTGGCTCTGGAAGGAATTTTGACAACAGCACTGAAATATGAATGTGGGTGTCCCTCCCATTGTGGGACTCTACAGTGCTGTGCATTAAGGGAATTCAATCACCAGAGAAGGAACTACTCACTGGTTAGGGGCTGGGCCATGTTCCTCTTTTGTTCCCAGATGCACTCTTCTCTGCAGCACTTTACTCCACGCAGTGCCCTGTGGTGGACAGACGGCAATGGCGCCATCTTCCCCTCCGCATGTCCACCCCCTACCCTGTCATTCTGCAATGCTTCCCATGGGGGGATGGGCTGTTCCCCCATCCCTTGGATCTGGGCTGTCTTTGTGACCTGCTTTGGCCCACAGAATGTGGCAGAAGTGACAGTGTCCCAGTACAAGCCCAGGCTTCAAGAAGACTGGCAGGTTTCTGCTTGTTCTCAGGCTCAACACCACCATGAGAGCATGCCCAGCTGGGCGGCTGGAAGCATGGGGGACAGGTGGAGAGCACACAGCCTGGCCCAGCCAACCAGCTGGGTCCTTCTAAACGGGTAAGCAAACCAGGCCGGGTGGGACCAGGCCTGAAGAACCACCCAAGCTGATCCAACCCATAGAATTGGGAGCTAAATAAGTGGTGGTTTTTGTTTTTGTTTTGTTTTTCCACTGGAGTGCACTGGCCCAATCAAAGCTCACAGTAGCCTTGAACCCCTGGGTCCAAGCATCCTCCTGCCTCAGCCTCCTGAGTAGCCGGGACTGCGGGTGCACACCACCATGCCCAGATAAGTTTTGTATTTTTTGTAGAGATGAGGTCTCACTCTGTTGCCCAGTTTGATCTCTAACTACTGTCCTTCAAGGGATCCTCCTGCCTTGGCCTCCCAAAGCACTGGGAGGCATGAACCACTGTGCCTGGCCAATGGTGACTACTTTAAGCCACTAAGTCTTGGGGTGGTTACACTGAAAGAATCCCATTTTCCCCACCACATGAAGGTTCTGATCTATCACATTCAAACTGATCTTGAGAAATTCATTCTTCTGGCAGCTGGGTAAAATGTGAGTAGGAAACACGATACTCCATTTCTGTTTCAGCTCTTTCACTGGGTATCCAGGCTGTATTTTAAGAAATTTTTGTGAAATCAACAGCATATATATTATCAAAGCAAGTATTTTCTGTCCCTTGTCTACGGTCCAGGGAACCTGCAATAAGATACAAATGAACGGTTGACACCATACCATAAAGATTAGGAATAAGCATATCATAAAGATTAGCAATAAGCTGGATCATGATTTTACAGTGAGCCCGGTTTGAGCAAGCCATAAAAAGGATTTTATGGTCAAATATAAGTTTAATATAATCTCTTTATCATGTTTCCCCAATAACTGTTCATTATTGCTTCATTTTATTTACACTTGTCACATACATCTCTATAGTACACAGACACAGACTTATATTTTCTATACATTTCTTAGCATATAGTTGCCTTTGGATCAATACAGAATTAGTAGGGATCAGTGCAGGAAAGAATATTACCTTTTTCTGAAAGTAGAGTCTTACATATTTATATAGCACCTTTGATTTAAGTAGCTCAAGGTACTTTAACATTCACTGTAGCATCCTTCTGATATCTCTGGGTAGGGAAACTATTATAAATTATCATTATTGCCTTTTTATAGAAGGAACAAATAAAAGCAAAGAAAGGCGAAGTGCTCAGTGAGATGACAGTCACAGCAGAAACTCGGGTTTTCACCTCAGAGGTCTACTTTGTGAACTGTAACTCTGTAATATATTCCATATCAAAAGGTATAATGGTTTCCTCCATTTGTATAACATCTCCCTGTGGATGATGTTAAGTAAAAGGGCAGGAATGACAGTAAATTCCCACCAACAGATCCTCCTGGCTGTGCAGTTATTTCCTGCAGTTCTTTATGTTGGCTAAGGAGTCCCATAAATTACAGAACTGTCCTGTGCTTCTCCACTGAAAATCCTAATTGACCGCTACCACCCCAGTATTTCCAGCAGGAGGGAAAAACCAGTGATCCACAGTCATGCTCTTCAGTTGGGCATTTGTGGCCAATAAAGTCTGGGCAGTGACCACTATTAGTGCTTTCTTTTATAACCTACCAGATGTACAAAATTAATTTTAACTTGCTTGCGTATTTTTGCTTTTCTCCAGTATTTGCAGGGAACCAGTGCTCACTGAGTAACAAAAGATAAAACCACCCAGGGAATTTCCTTCCATCTGGACCATCGTCTAGGTTTCTCACACGGGGGATGATGCCAAGAGAAAGACACCTTTAGGATAAGAAGTTTTCTTAAATTCACAACATGCGGTTTGGCTTTAAATTTAAATGCATTGGAAAATGGAATGTTTTCCACTTCTACAAGGCCAACCTACAGATGCACGATTATGTACGAATAAAAGAGGATCCATTTATGCTATTCTTATCTAGACAAAGAAAATGCAAATTAAAATTTCAACTTTATTCTTCCTTGAACTTCCCTGGCCCTTTCTTTCCAGGAGCCCCATGTCCTGTTCGTTTTCTCCATCTTTTCCAGAGAGACCTCTAGAATAAGAATGCCAAGCCGCAGCAACTTGGAGTTTTAGAAATTTGGTTACCAAGTACCTGAGTGCCTCTGCCAGCGTGGAAAAATTAACCACCTAGGGGGTAAGGTCACATACTGAGCTTAGTTCTGCTTAAGGACCGACACAAACTTAAAAACATTCAGGAGAAAAAAATAGGGTTTCCTTTTTTCTTTCTTTTAGAAAAATGAGAATACAGAACATTTTTCAGAATATGGAAGTCCCACCACATGTTCCCAGCAACTATCTCCGGGCCTCACATGTTTAGCCTTTTCCCTAAAGTGCTTACAATGAACACACACAGGGAAAGTCATCTCCAAAACACTGTGAGAAGGGGCACAAAAGAAAATATGTAAAGCAGGCCAGCGTGCGGGCTCACGCCTGTAATCCCAGTACTTTGGGAGGCCGAGGCTGGAGGACTGCTTTCGCTGGGGAGTTTGAGACCAGCCTGGGTAACATGGTGGGACCCTGTCTCGGTGCGGGGGAGGGGGAGAATCTGGGCATGGCATGCAGCTGTGATCCCAGCTACTCCGGAGGTTGAGGTGGGAGGATCACTTGGATTGCTTGAGCCCAGGAGTTAAGAGGCTGCACTGGGCTATGATCGCACCACTGCACTCCAACCTGGGCCAGAGCCAGGTTGCCAAAACAAAAACAAAAACAAAAACAAAAACAAAAACAAAAACACAAAAACAAAAAAAAACGCAAAAGAAAAGAAAGAGACCCTCACCTTTAGGATAATTTTTGAGAAAACCTTTAAATTAAAAAAGAGGGGGAAAAGATATCAAGAAAAGTTATGAAAAGGAATACAAATATGGGGGGAAAACACAGACCCTCCCCCCCCACAGAACAGGATAGTCATAAAAATAGCTGTCATAGTGCCACAAATTACTGCTGCGAGTTTGAGGGGTGGCAGGGGAGGCATCTGCCCCAGTGCAGGGGAGCTGCTGAGCATCCGTGGGCCTGGGGAGAGTCCTCATCAATTCACTTGCTGAAAAGCCCATTTCCTGGAGGGCAAGGTGGGCGGAGAACGCCCGGTGGTCTTCTTCGACTGTACCGATCGATCCCTGGGTGGTCGGCGCTGGTCGGCGCTGGGGCCATGGGGGGCGCTCAAGCCTTGGCCCCGCCCTCCTCCTGCACCGGCCGCGAGGCCTTCTCCGGCTCCCGCAGCCCCTCGGGGCCGCCGCACGGGTCCGGGAAGCGCGGGCCGTTCCCCGCGAAGGAGTCGCGGCGCGCCAGGGTCTCCTCCTGCACCGGGCGGCCCACGGGCTCCGCCGCCGCCGCAGCGCCCTCCTGCGAGGTCTGGCTGACGTAGACCACAATGATGTCGCCCTTGAAGTTCATCACCTGCCCGCTGGAGATGAACGTGGAGTTACTGTTTCCAGTCACATTTCCTGCCGGGAGAGGAAGGGAGAACACGGGGAGGGTGAGTCAGCGCCCGGAGGACGGGTCTCCCGAGAGGAGTGGAGGGCGGCTTCCCGGCTTCCCACAGCCCCGGGCCACAGGGAACCACGCTGTCACCCTCCAGGCCCACTGAGGTGGAGGAGGGCGGGGCAGAGAAGAGAGGAGGAGAAGAGAAAAGAGAAAAAAGACAAAAGAAGTAAAGAGAAGAGGCGGGAGAGGAAAAGAGGAGGAAAAGGAGTGGAAGAGGTGGGGGGGAAGGGGGAAGAGAGGGCGAGGAAGAGGAGAGGGGGAGGAAGAGAAGAGGGCGAGGAAGAGGAGAGGGCGAGGAAGAAGAGGAGGAGAAGAAAGGGTAGAGGAAGAGGAAGGAGAGAGGAAGGGGGAGGAGAAGGAGGGGAGAAAGAGGAGGAGGAGAGGAAGAGGAGGAGGAGAAGAGGAACAGGAAACGAGGGGAGAAGAAGAGATGAGAAATGAGCAAGCCTAGGGGCAGACTCATGCTTTACCATTTGCCTGTGATGTGGGACTCTGGGATACTGGCAAGAGAGCACACCAGGATTACAGAATCACAGACAAGATTCAAATGTTACAAAAGAGAGAGAGAGAGAGAGAGTGTGTGTGTGTGTGTGTGTGTGTGTGTGTTTTCAACACAGAACAAGCACAGCTAAGGGAGGAGACCTCAGTCTGCTCTCCTCTCTGGACTTAATCTGAAGCCCTGTCACCCTGCGTGCCTTGGTTCCTCCTGGTCCCTAACGGCTCAGCCCTGGAGGATCATGGGGCCATGTGGGCTCAACTTTCAGTAGTGATTAATCAATTTCCTTAACATTCAAAAAAATTACTTCCGGAAACAAAGGAGATTCACAAAACTAAAATGGAAAAAAAAAAAAAAGTCCTATAAATCACTTTTCCCTTCTGAACTCTGAAGGGTGTTTTGTCCCTAGGGGGTTCTATCATCATTTCTTTGTGGGTGACTAGAGGTGGCCAGTCTTTAAGCAGCGGACGTTTTGAAAAACAAACAGAAAGCCCAACAAATGTTAGGAAATCTGCTAGCTCTTATGATTCTTCCATTTTAAAGACAGAAATTTCCTAGTCGTTGGTCTAGGAAAGTACCACAAACCAAGCAGATCTAGAAACGCCCCAACACTCAGCATCACAAACAGAATCCTTCCATTTGATCAGGGGCCAGGAATGTCAGAATGGCTCCTCATGATTCACTACCTTTTTCTTCTCCATTGTGACTCAGCTTAGTAATAATTCATACGAATAAAATGAAGTTTTTGTTACCACTCCATATGAGATTTTCCTCAAATTTGGAAGGCATGTTTTGGATGGCCTGACTAAAATACTGATAGGCATGTAGGAAATTCCTTTGAGGAGCCTTCCCCTGACCCACTGGGTACCTCTAGAGAAGCCAAGACCAAAACACAAGGAAAAGCCCATGAAAACACAAGGATTTCAAGTATGAGCAACAAATCCAAAGTCCTGGAAGGAGGTCTGTGCCTTATGCTGTTTCTCCCATAGGCAGTTGTGTGGGATGTCCTCCAAGAGGGGAGTGGCAGGACTTGTCTAAGAACCCCCAATGGGGGAGGCCCGCTGGCATTCCTGTTTACCACCTACCCAGCACATTCTCCACCCCCTCTCCACACACTGCCAGACACACAGCGAACTCCAGTGAGGGTCTACTCACCACTGTATCTATGCCCTTCTGCTCCCAGCACTTACCAAGTTCCTTCTCAAGTCTGTTGTCACCAGATAAACTCGTCACGAAATTTAATTAAATATTGGGCAAAGCAGTGAAATATTAGTGAGAAAAAATGGGAAATGTTTCTATAAAAACTAAAGTGAATGCTTTGCAAGGACCCAAATAAAAGTGAGTTACTGAAAAACACACGCGCGCACACACATACACACATACACAAACAAAATGAAACCACCACCACAAACTGTTCAACTGGTGTGGTGGTGTAGGCAAGGAAACTATGAAAAAAGAAAAAGGAAGGACTTCTGGTTTCAAAATGGCGGCGCAGAAGCAAGCTGGTTCCACTCACCCCACAGAAAACCAAAACAAAATATACAGCACCGACATTATCACTCAAAATATTCGAGAACACAAATATGGCAATGAGGCAGTTCCCAGGGCTACAGAGAAGTGAGAAAGGAAGAAAAAGAACAGGAAAAGGAAATAGTAAAAGTCCGGAAGGATTTTGCTCTCAAATACCTGTAACTTCTCATTTCACACTGAAGAAATAGAAACTGGAAATTAGGTGGTATGGTTAATGTAAAAAGGGCTCAGGAGGCCGGGCATGGTGGCTCACCCCTGTAATCCTAGCGCTTTGGGAGACCAAGGCAGGTAGATCACCTGAGGTCAGGAGTTCAAGACCAGCCTGGCCAACACAGCGAAACCCCATGGCTACTAAAAATACAATCCCAGCTACTCAAGAGGCTGAGGTAGGAGAATTGCTTGAATCCGAGAGGCGGAGGTTGCAGTGAGCCAAGATCATGCCACTGCACTCCAGCCTGGGCGACAAGAGCAAGATTCCGTCTCAAAAAAAAAAAAAAAATAGGGGGCTCAGGACACTATAATCAGCCAGTACATACAGGCTTATACTAAAACATAATTGGTGTGTAAATATAAGGTATATGTTTTAAGTAAAAAAAAAGTTTAAGATATGAACTTATAAGATGACATTTTTAAGTAACTCAGCAACTGCTGACCAAGTGCTAATAAAAAGGCTTCTACCGTAGCAGCAACAGACAAGTAGACATAGCAACACAGTTACGTCTTCCTATTTGAGAAATCACTATTTCATTAATAGAAAAAGTGAAAGTGAAAAATAAAAAGTACATGGAATGGGACATTCAATTTTAAAAAATGTACATACAATGAAAATTCTATTCTGATTAAAAACATACCATGTTTATTTAATAACATAAGCAATTTAAAGTTGCTTAGACGTATGATTACTCTTGACCTAGTTCCTCTAGTTTTAATATACACCATGACACAAACAGATACATCTATGAAGAGGATAAAGAAGAGATGAGAATAAATGCAAAACCATCCATCATGAGGTGTTCTCACTACATCATCATTGCCTGCTGGTTCCGTTGTTCTTCAGTATCATGTGAAACTACACAGAGGACATCTCCAGCCACTGCATGATTGATTTATGGTTTTGAATTTGCTCTCATCTCTTCTTTATCTTCCTCACTGATTTATCTGCTTATGTCATGGTATATATTATTTATCTACCATTTTAAATTTTATTTTTCAACAAATCAACATGAATCCATTGTTGCTTACTTTTTTCTTGTGAGAACCTTTGATGAGTCTGAACCCAGGTAAAACCTATGGTTTGCGTAAAGTCTTTCATCTTGAGAATTTCATTCCATGCCATTGCTCCATGGCAAACAGTATCTTTGATACTGATAACCTAAATATTCTGTAGCACCTATATTCATTTTTGTTTTCTTTTTTCAGATGGACCTCAAACCCTTTTGCGTAAGTAAAATATCTAAACATTTCAGAATCCTTTGTTTCATGGACTGAACCAAGAATATTATTGTTGGGGGACTGAGTGCGGTGGCTCACACCTGTAAACCTGGCACTTTGGGAGGCCAAAGTGGGCGAATGCTTAAGCCCAGGAGTTGGAGACCAGATGGGCAACATGGTAAAACCCTGCCTCTATGAAAAATGCAAAACAATTAGTTGGGTGTGGTGGCACACGCCTGTAGTCACAGCTACTTGGGAGACTGACGGTGGGAGGATCACCTGAGCCCAGAGATGCTGAGGCTCCAGTGATCTGTGATTGTGCCACTGCCACCCAGCCTGGGGCGACAGAGTGACCCCCTCATCTCAAAAAAAAAAAAAAAAAAAAAAAGAGTATTATTTTGGAAGGCCATGAAGCTGTGGAAGGACAAAAACTAGGCCTTTAAATTCCTGACCATTGGCCCGGGCGCGGTGGCTCACGCCTGTAATCCCAGCACTTTGGGAGGCCGAGGCGGCGGATCATGAGTCCAGGAGATCAAGACCATCCCTGGCTAACACAGTGAAACCCTATCTCTACTAAAAATACAAAAAATAGCCAGCGCCGTCGGTGGCAGGCACCTGTAGTCACAGCTACTTGGGAGGCAGAGGCAAGAGAATGGCATGAATCCAGGAGGCGGGGCTTGCAGTGAGCCGAGATCAGGCCGCTGCACTCCGGCCTGGGCGACAGAGCGAGACTCTGTCTTGAAAAAAAAAAAGAAAAAGAAAATTCCTGACCATTAAGATGTAAAGGACAGTTACCTAGAAAGATTAAGGAGATTCTCAAACAAGTTTATTCTTCAAGTGTTTCTTTAATGAAGCTACAATTAATGACAAAAACAACCTTCGGTCAAGTCCATCCATGGTGACTCTTGAGAGATATGGTAAACTGATAGAGATTAACTTTTTTACATAAGTTATACTGATCTGCCAATCACAATACGCGGCAATTCTTAAGTGGCAGCAGAGTGGTCTCCATGGGCCTGTGCAGCTGCACAAGGCCTTATGCTCTGCAGAGCTCCACGCTGGGTTAAATGCTTTATTGTCATCATGAAATTCTTATTAATTTTTGCAAAAGGGGGAAATTTTTCATTTTCACTGGGCTATGCCAGTTATGTCACCAGTCCTGAAGACATGGGCAGCTCTTAGGAACCCTACTCTGGGAACTTTCCCCATTGAGGCTATAATCTAGCACTACCATTTTCGGAAGTAACATCTTATGAGTTGGACATTTTTCAATATTCCAGAAGTGTTTGCTAATCAGATTTTCTCTACTAATTTTCTCTACTACAACTCAGTAGAACTGAGCTGTAGGAGTCATCCACTTTGCTTCTGAAATCCCAATCCTGTGACATGTTTTCCTATATTCAAGCCACCCACCACTCGCTGCGAAACACCGACTTTCTGATGGAAAACTGGGGCCTGTCCTTTGCGGATGGGTCTACTGATTGTACCAACTGGATCTTGAATGCTTTACCTACAATTTCGAGTTTCGGGTTCTTTAACATGGAATGAGAACCAAAAGTCACTTGCCAAAAAGCAGTCTAAATGCAGAAGCCTTTTAGAGTTTTCTTCCTTCCACCTTTCACAGTTGTCTCATTCACCTCAACTTCAATACCACAAAGGTTTTAGCAATTCATTCCCCGAATCATCCCAATATTCAATAGTTTTCACAGAAATAATCATGATTATCAAACCCATTTTTTTTCTTGACAGTTAACATAATAGTTAACGTTTTAAATGACAAGATCAGCTCACACTCACAGAATTGGGAGCACCCATGGACTTTAGATAACATGGCCATTCAGCAGGTGGGAGCAGAAGGGTCTGGGTATTCTAGAGTGACTCACGAGTTGTGAATAATCAGTGTGCTATGGGCTTCAGTCAGCTTCCTGGGTGGGTGTGGGTTAATCTGTGGGTTGAGTGGAGACAGTTTGAGTACCTACTGCAATAATAACAGTAACAGAAGCAACACTCTCCATGCAGAATTGACTAAGCACTCTCTCCAGGCCAGGTTGGCTGCATCACAAACACCAGCTTGCAGGTGCTCTGCATGTGAGCATGCCAGGTTTCTCTGGTTGGGATTTTCCCCCTCTACTGACTGACACTGTTTCAAGAATGAAAACTGCTGGACAGCTTTCTTTTCCCATGGTGTGTCATAATCCAGATTCACCGGAAAGCAAACTAATGACATCAATGTCATCGTGGTGTTTTAGTCTCTGAAGAGCAGAGGTGACTAAGTGGTGACTAGAGGGATGGAGGTCTTAATGGCTGCCTGAATTCAGGAGGGGCAGAAATGTGGGGCAGAGGAGAGAACAGGGGTCTAGAAGCTCTTGGGTCTTGTCCTGAGACTTAGCCCTCACTAGTGGTGAGAGTTTGGGACAAACCACCTAGCTCTCCCGATCTGAATCAAGCTGTGCTGGCCTGGCGGTGTGCAACTGCGTGGAGCAAGCACATGTTAATAATACACATTTGTTAAATAAATGAACAAATGAGCACATGAATATCCAGTAGGACAGCATAAGGGTCAAACAAGACGATTAGATTTGAAACTGCTAGGGAAATAGCAAAGAAGCAGTCACAGGTGCAAAGGTGGCATTCCTCCTCCCAGAAAGTAATATCAGTGCTCACGGAACTCCCAAGGACACAGAGATTCATGAAATACACTGAATAGTAGTATTATCTTTCCATCCCTGTCTTGCTAGAGAATCTCAATGTGTCTTGAAGACTGAAAGGGCACTTTCTCTGGAAATCTAACCAACTTCTGTTTGCTCTGCTGAAGTCCTCAATCATGATGCTTGTCTTCGGTTAGAACACTCATCTGTATAATTCTACACTAAACCCCACAGTCTCATTTCTTATCACGCAAGTCTGCTGTGAGTTGAATGTAGCACCAGAGTAGATCAAGGCTTAGAATTAGTTGGTAATATCCTTATCTAATAAGATACCTCAGTCCTGAACTGTCCTTGCGAAAAGTAAGAATTCCTTAACATTTGCTTTCTGTATTGCAGAACAGATTAGTTGTTCACATCAGAGAGTTCACATCTGATCTGCGATGGTGACATCAATAGGTCACCGTGTTGGCAGCTGTATAATCAGGTGGGTGCTGTGGGTCTCCTTTTCAACGTGGTTCCTATGGTTTCTGCAGTTGATGTGTATCCCAGGAGGGGAACTCTTCCCACTGAATGCCAGGAAACTCAACGGGGACCTCTGCAGTTAGCAGGGAACTCTCCCTTGCTGGTGGCTAGCAAGGGAGTATGAAAAGGGGAGGGATGGTTCAGATGAGGATTACCCAAGATGGCCTAAAAAGATCTGAGGCTTAAGAGAATGAAGAAACAAGCCACAGACTGGAAGAAAATGTTTGCAAAAGCCATATCTGATACAGGACTATTTCCCAAAATAAATAAGGAACTCTTAAAATTCAACAATAAGAAAACAAACAACCCAATAAAAATGGACCCAAGGCCTTAACAGACACCTCACCGAAGATATCCAGATGGCAAACAGGCATATGAAAAGATGCTCCACGTCATATGTCATCAAGGAAGTGAGAATTAAAGCAACAGTGAGACACCACTACACACCTATTAGAACGGCTCAGATCCAGAACCCTGACACCACCAAATGCTGGTGAGCATGGGGGCGGGTGGCAGGAACTCGTTTCCTTGGCTGCTGGGAATGCAAAAGAGTACAGTTGCTTTGGAAGACAGTTTGGTGACTTCTTACAAAACTAAACATACGCTTCACATATGATCCAGCAATCATACTCTTTGGGATTTACCCAAAGGAATTGAAAACTTATGTCCGCACAAAAATCTGCACACACATGTTTACAGCAGCTGTAGTCATAATTGCCAAACCTTGGAAGCAGCCAAGAGTCCTTCAGTAAATGAATGGATAAACAAATCCCCCATGTCCGTCCACACAATGGAATATTATTCAGTGTTAAAAAGAAAAGAGCTATCAAGCCATGAAAAGACATGGAGGAAACTGAGATTCATAATGCTGAGTAAACAAAGCCAATCTGAAAAGGCTATAGAATGTGTGATTCCACCTCTATGGCATTCTGGACGAGGCAAAACTATGGAGGCAGGAGAAAGATCAGGAGTTGCCAGGAGTTCGGAGAAAGGGAGGGGTGAGTAAGTCGAGCACGGAGGATTTGCAGGGCAGTGAGACTACCCTGTATGAGACTATCACGGTGGATGTATGCCAGGATACATTAGTCCAAACCCACAGAACATACAACACAAAGAGTGGACCCCAACGTGTCAATGTGGACTCATCGACTGCAGCAAATGTACCATTCTAGTGGGGGAGGCTGTGCATGTGTGGGAGGCAGGAGGAATACAGGCAATCTCTGTGCCTGCCCCTCAATTTTCCTATGAAGTTAAAACTGCTCTAAAAAATAGTTTACATTAAAATCATGAAGACCAGAGGTTTTTTGGTAGGCATTGTTAGTCCATTAAGCCAAATCAGGCCCTGTTACTCCCCTCTTGCCTCCTCTCCTCAGGATCCCTTTCTGACAGTGTTCCCCTTCGAGGCTGCCTCTGACCTTTATCTGACATTTATTTTGCTTGCCAAAAAAAAAAAAAAAGATAAAGTTTGAAGCACGTGGAAGAAAAGGCTTTCCCCACAAAGGAAAGTGATAGCAAAAATGGTAACATCCCGAGACAACTGGCAGAAGAGAGGGGTCTCACCATAACCAGGGGACCATCACACACTGTGCATCCTGCTGTCCCTCCTGTGGAACCCTCTGGGCCAGGCCAGGCCTAGCTACTGCCTCTCCCTCAGCCAGAGCAGCCAATGATGCCAAGACTGTGCCTGTCCCTATTCTGTGACACACTGAGGATTCTCCAAGGCACAGTAAATAAATGAAATCAGCATCACTTGCACTGACTTAAGAGGAGACAGTGCGGTGGTTTAAGGTTGCACTGTAGCCCTGATCTCCTGGGCTCAGGTGATCATCCTACCTCAGCCTCCCCGAGTGACTGGGACTACAGGTACACGCTACCATATCTGACTAATTTTTAAAAATTTTTGTAGAGAAGAGGTCCCACTATGTTGCCAAGACTGGTTCTGAACTCCTGGGTTTGAGAGATCTCCCACCTTGGCCTCCCGAAGTACTGGGGTTGCAGGTGGGAGCCACTGTGCCCTGGCCTGCAATCGGATACCTGAACCATGGCTTTGTTGCTTACTAGCTGCATGATCCTGGGCCAGGAACTTGTCCCATAGAATTTCGGTGAGGAATAAGAAGATGATACGCACAAAACACTTAGCACCTGGTGACTAACGTCTATAATACCACTGATAAAACTGTAACCTTCAGGCTATCGCACCAATCTTACAGGTCTCTGAACACCATATGACTGACGGAATTTGAAGGCCACCCTAAAGTATGGTTTGAAAGCCAGAATGACGTGGGAATTTTTAGTAAATATGGGAATTTGGAAGTGTTTCTAACAGTTAAGATGGATTAGTTGGCAGGGTGTGGAGGGTCACCCCTGTAATCCCAGACAGTGCAGTGGGTTAGGGTACAAGCTTCACAATCAGACATTTGTTTTGTTTTTTTTGAGAAAGGGTCTTGCTTAATCACCCAGGCTGGAGTGCAGTGGCGTGAACACAGTTCACTGCAGTCCTGACCTCCTAGGCTTGGTTGTCCTCCCACCTCAGCCTCCTGAGTGGCTGGGACTACACACCTTGGGAGGCCTAGGTGTGTGGATCCGTTTGAGCTCAGGAGTTCGAGACCAGCCTGGGCATCATGACGAAACCCAGTCTCTAAAAAAAAAAATTAAAAAAAAACACAAAAATTATCAGGCTGTGGTGGTACAGGCCTGTTGTCCCAGCTACAAGGGAGGCTGAGATGGAAGGATGGCTTGAGCCTGGGGGTGGAGGCTGCAGTGAGCCAAGATCATGCCACTGCTCTCCAGCCTGGGTAATAGAGCCAAACCCTGTCTAAAAGAAAGCGTAAAAAAAAAATGGATTAGTTGACTTAACAATATTTAATGTGACTTAACCAGAAAAATGTTCAGGTAACTTAAGAGTGTTAAAAATAGCAAGTAAGTCAACAGAAACAATGAATCAATAATGTCTCCCATCATAATCAGAACGATGCTTCTACTTGGTCCATGCTTGACAGAGCAGGCTCCGTGGAATTTGTATTTCTCAGGCAGAAAGAACAAACTTAGTTCTAAGAACACAATCCCTGACAGAATTTACATTTTTAAGCAAGATAATGCACACTTTTCTTCTCAAAAGCTTATTATGTTGTTTAAAATGCCTAACATATGAATATTAAATCACAAGAACTATGCCAAATAATACCACCAAATTGTCATGTAGATTTTCTTCCAAGGAAGAGAACTAAAAATATACACAAATACACTCAAACTACCCAGGCTACATTGGGTTCTTTTGGAATTTTTTAAAAAACTTATTTTATATTTAACCCATATGCTTCTCATGTGATTTTCCTTTTTATGGAAATGTAAGTTCTGTTTCAGGCATTTAGAAGAAACTGGGTATGTGATGATAAGGGAAGGGAAACAGTATTTAATAGTTCCATTCTGAATCATGCTTGACAATTACTTAGAAAGTCTTACAGACCAAAGCCTTCCAAAATGAGCCCTATCAGTGCAGAAAGAAGGAAGGCAGGATGAAATGAAGCAGAGTATATACAGTGACCACATTTTTCGTATCTTTTGAAATAGTGCATTGACGTTTTACAGCAATGAAAGCTGAATATTATCACCAAATAACCTAATTATGAAATATCTATTTTAACTTCAAGATTCAGGGCCAATGAACCATATCTGCCTTTATGAGATTTAGCTGAAAGTGATATGCAAGGTGGTAAATGGCATTCTAACAAGAGTGTGAAGAAAGAGCGAGAAGGCTGTCCTCTGCTGGAGGGGAAGAAAGGAGAGGAGGTAAGTTTGGATAGGAAAATCTTTTTCTATACTCTCAGAATGGAAATGGATGGTCAACAGCAGTCATTTCAGGAGAGAGTGGGACCAGGGATGGAGATGGAGGACAGGGGAGGATGACGGGTCAGGTAGGTCTTCACTGTCCCGTGTTCCTGGCTCCCAGGTGATGGCCTTGGAGAGTCTATGCTGCTAGGATGAACCAGGTCACCTGTGCTCTGTCATTTCTGCCTCCTCTGCCCAGGACACTGGGTGAGCCCAGGGCAGTCAGTGCCAGCCCTTCCATGCCCCTCCTTCTTCAGCTCCCTAGAGCAGACCAAAGAACTGGGAGGCTGAGAGTGACTTGGGGGAACAAACAAGATACAGTGGTCTTGTGTTCATCTATTTATTCCTCAATGGATGAATGAATGAATGTATAAGCATCCATTCACTTAACATTTTGAGATACTAGAAAGATTAGGCTACGAGAATTCACCGCCCCCCAACTTCTTTTTTTTTTTTTTTTTTTTGATACAGAGTCTTGCTCTGTTGCCCAGGCTGGAGTGCATTGGCAAGATCTCAGATCACCTCCGCCTCCCAGGCTCAAGCAATTCTCCTGCCTCAGCCTCCCAAGTAGCTGGGATTACAGGCGCGTGCCACCAGGCCCAGCTAATTTTTTTTGTTTTTTAGTAGAGATGGGGCTTCCCCATGTTGGTCAGGATGGTCTTGAACTCCTGACCTCAAGTGATCCACCCACCTCAGCCTCCCAAAGTGCTGGGATTACAGGCATGAGCCACTGCACCCAGCCAGAATTCCTACTAACTGGTTGTGGCTGCCTAGAGCTGGGGTGTTGATAGGGTGTGAGAGTATCCAGGCAGGGGAAAAAGTCCCCAAGATTCATTACAAACAACAGGCTGCAGGTCAGAGAGAGGGGGCAAGCTGTGGAAGGCCTGGATTTCTCAAATGATTGATTCCTTTTCACATGGTCCACACCCTGGCATTAATCCCTACTTGTTTTTCAGGCTTTTTCAAGTCTCTGTGGTTCAGTGGACCTTCAATAAAGGTTTAATTGAAAAACAAATAGGTATTCAGTGTTCATCAAGAATTGTTTGCAGCCGTAGAAAAAGAAGGAAATCATGTCCTCTGCAGCAACATGGATGCAGTTGGAGGCCATTATCCTATGCAAATTAATACAGAAACAGAAAACCAAACACTGCATGTTCTCACTTATAAGTGGAAGCTAAAAGTGGGTATTCATGGACATAAAGATGGCAACAATAGACACTAGGGACTCCTAACTAGGCAGGGGAGAGAGGGAGAGAAACAAGGACTGAAGATACCGTGCTCACTGCCTGGGTGACGGGATCAATCAAACCCCAAACCTCAGCATCATACAATATACCGGGTACAAACCTGCACGTGTAACCTGAATCTATGATAAAAGTTGAAATAATTAAAAAGCAAAATCATTTTTAAAGGATAAAAAAAAAAAAAAAAAAGACCACCCTAACTTTCTCCAGCTCAGAAGTGACTGAAACTAACCAGTGGCTTCGGGAGCCAAAACCAAGCCACCAGCCACCAACAGACATATTAATCACGAGCAGTTATGGTTTCTTTCACATGAAATAACTCTCTAGGGGCACAGTGAGAATGAGCCAGTCTCCAGGTGAGAGGGCTTGTAACCAAGGCAACCGTGACGTCATCAGGATTAGGCGTAACTTCAGACCTAAATTAAGGCATGGTTATTTGAGACATAACCAGAGGTATGCTTCCCTCTTCACTGATCTTTGCTAATCATTCTCCTTGCTTCTTAGGACTTATCATATGGCTAAAATAGCCTTAACAGCACTGGGTATTATATTTTTTTAAGTTGTCTGCACTTGTGGAGCTGTCTGAAAAATCATCATTCTCCTCACAAAGATGCTGGGACAGCAGATACCCTTCCCTAAAGAAAAAGTCCCCAGTCACTGTCATTTCTCCAGAAGCAGTTTGATGGGATTGTAAGCAAAAACAAACAAAAAATACTCTCATATAAAAATCCAAAAAACCCTTAAAAAATGCCACATCAGCAAGAGTCCTGAGAGCACAGGGGCGCTGAGGGGACCCCAGGATAAGGCCTCTGTGGGATGGCTCACCTAAGCTCCATCCTCTTTCACGCATTTTATAGAACGTGAATTGTGACTTTTTTAAAAACTACAAAAACAAGAATGAGAAAGTACTATTCTGACCAGAAGCCATAAGGCCTGTTCATGGAGAAGTAATTGTGGAGAGAATAGCACAGCCTCCAAAATCAATCTGGCTGCTGCCTCTCCTCAGGCGAAAATGAATTTGGACCGCTTGCTGGCGTCGGCCACGGGCAGACTCTCTACGGATGTTTTGCATGGCTAAGCACCAGACGAAGACAGAAAAAGCAGTGTAAACTTTTTGCAAATTAACACCACTTAGTTGATGACACACTTTTTATTCCTTTCCTCCATCCCTAGATGGTTTAGTGCTAGAGAAAGAAAAGATGATGAAAAACAGACTAGGCTACTGTTTTGACTCTTACAGGAGAGCAAAGATCGGGCTTTTTGTTTTATGGCATTAAAAGATCCATGTATCTCTCTCTCTCTTTAAATCTGGCCAACGCTGTTCTTCCAAGAACTGCTGCTGATTTTCACACAGTGGCAACGTCATCTTCCTGGTGTCACCCACTGAAAAACCGGTCTGCCCTGACAGTGCGGTCAGGACCTGGCTGCCGCCAGAGACAGAACGTCAGCTTTCTCGCTCCCCACAGCCCAGGGAACTGTCTGTCTCCACAACCAGGGGGAAGACAATAAACGGAGAGAAAAGAAATAGAACGGGCCAGGCGCAGTGGCTCACGCCTGCAATCCCAGCACTTTGGGAGGCTAAGGCAAGTGGATCACCTGAGGTCAGGAGTTTGAGACCAGCCTGGCCAACATGGAAAAAACCCATCTTTACTGAAAATATAGAAATTAGCTGGGTGTGGTGGCATGCGCCTATAGTCCCAGCTACTCTGGAGGCTGAGGCAGGAGAACTGCTTGAACCCAGGAGGTGGAGGTTGCAATGAGCCGAGATCGTGCCATTGTACTCCAGCCTGGGCGACAGAGTGAGATTTGGTCTCTAAATCAATCAACTAATCAATCAATCAATCAATCAATCAATGCAAACGAACAGCAAAGCCCAGTCATGGAGATTCCTTACAATCTTAAAATAATTAATAATAATTCTGAGATCTTCTGAGAAGAAAACATACCAGTTCTTTGAAAAATATCCCCAAACATATCTCCTCCTTTCCGTTTGACTGAGAATTACTATTACTGAATTTATACATCGGTAAATCTATGTAGCTGCAGCAAAACCACAAGCTTGAGGAACAGATTAAAGCCAGGAACCATCATTACCACGAGGCAAAACACTATCTGTGTTTAAGGCACAGATTAGCTACCTCAGGGTTATAAAACAATTCAAAGACCGGCTGCTAGCACCACTTGCAGTCTAAATAAAGAAGCAGAGAAGAAAAAACATCTCTGGAGAAGGGCGGCCTATGAATGGGCCTTTTGAAAATCATGAGTTGGAGGATTCTGTGAAGCCCCTTAAATAGTATATATCCATATATTCGTTTTTCTGGAGGGAGTGTCTATAGCTTTCGGAAGATTCTCAGAGAGAGCACTGACCCTTCAAATGACAGATAATTCTCAGAGCCAGAGCCCTCACTATCAGCTGCAAAGTCCTTTGTAACTACACAATAAAACAGATGGTGTTCTACCCTCATGGAAAAAAGTTACAATATTATAATTGGTAGGTTGTTCATGCTCAGGCAGTGTTGCAGTGATACATCTTTATAATGATGTTAAATTGTTAAAATTATCTGCCTGGTTCCATAAATATATGATACATTGTGGTTATAAAAGGGGCCTTTCTCATGAAACTTTTAAAAAGAGTTTGACTGTATCATTAATTTGGTATAGAATCAACACATTATTCACAATAAATATTAATTAATTAAGGATTAACTAAACAATTTTGTGTGTCCCCGTAAAATTTATAAGAGCTTTCTTGGGGGAGATTTAAGAGGCCTAAGGTGCTTTGAAAACAAAAACCAAAAAGCAGAAATCTGAGGGAATGCCTTGGCTCAGCCAGTCCTGAGGCCGATGTTGAGTTTGTCTTTTGGGGGTCAGTGCTGGGGCTTGAGGTCTTATGCTATCATGAAAAGCCTGAATGCAAAAGGGTATGGGACATGCATGGATGCAGAAACTGCCCCAGTGGTAGACGATGAAGCCACACAGTGCTGCGTGCAATGTATAACCAAACGCGTGAACCGAATCCAAAGCCATCCTGTAAAAATGCTTATTAAAAGAAAAAGCGCAAGCTGAGGTTTTCCCATTAGCTTCCTCCTTCCTAAATGGTCTGTAATACCTGCCCCCAAACCCTGTACCAAGAACTGGCCCTTCTGCTCAGAAGGGAGAGGCCGGGAAGTCACTTACCAGATGCAGGGGCCTGGCCACCAGGGGAGCTTCCAGACCCGGCGCCTGCCCTTGCCGAGCTTGGGAGCCTCCCATCAGTCCCGTTCTCGGGCTGGTCTCTGGCCTCTGTCCTGCCGGCTGCTTCTTCATGGGGAAGGCCCATGCCATAGGCACACTGGGGCAAGGGTCCGCGTTTCGGGGAACCCACGAGGGGTTCACAGTCCTCCCCAGGAGGGTTCCGGCAGCCTGTGCAGACATCTGCCCAGTTAGGGCTGGGACTGGCTGCCCAGTGCGGGCAATGGCCACCGTCCACCTCTTTTTGTAAGTAGTTTTCAGAGGACATGGGAATCCAATCAGTCCCGCACAGGGGCTCAGTGCAGCTGCAGCTTTCTGAACCCACTGTGCTCTGTGTCCCTGTGAAGCACTGGCTTAAGCTGTCATTCTCCCCTACCTCCAGGGGTTCAGAGAAAGGAGGTGTGGATTTGCTTCCAGGCTCAGTGAGGAACAGTAAACGGTCTGTGGGCTGGGAGGGCCTGTCCATGTATTCATCTTCCGTGGGCATCTGTCTGAAGCGGTCTTCCTCTGTCTCGGTCTCGCTGACCAATGAGAGTATCCTGGCATCTTCGCCTTGTGCGTAGGGACCACCTCCTACACACGTTCCCTGACAGACACCACCTTGATCTGGGTAGCACGTATCTTCTGGAAATGTCTTCTCCTCCAGAGTCAGCAGTAAGACACCTTCACACACTCCCTGCTGACCAAAGGCTGCCGTGTGTGGACTGACACAACTGTCGCCTGAGGACTCCTGCCGATTTACATTCAGAAGGCAGAGGCATTAACACCCAGAGTTATTAGGATGAGTTTAGCTAAACATTGCTGAAAACGGTGTTTACACTGATTACTTCCACCATAACAAGTACAGATGGTATACTGACCATGGCACTTTGTGTTATGAAAAATTACTGAGTGCAGGAGAACTCTAGAATGGAATACAACTAGAAACAAATGAATCTAGCTGCATCTCAGATGAAAAGCATGTTCACACCTGAGCAAGGAGAGGAGCTAACCCAAATGACTTTTGAGCACAGTATTCTGATGACATATTCTCAATCTAAATACAAAACCCAAAAACAACTGTAAACAAATATTGAACTCGAGTTAGCAACTCTGTGTATCACTGTGGTATGCTCTAGTAATTCTGAAACTACTTTCTGTGTATTCTAGAATTGAGCAAATGAGAAAATATATTGAGAATAATAGGAGCCAGGTTTCATACAGCTGGGGAAAGAAAGATTCAAATATGGGAAAGGGAAAGACCAGAATGAATACTGTTGCGTTGGCCTGGAATTGAAGAAATCAGTTTGAGCTTATGCTTTCAAATGTATACATTTTATATCAAAGAAAGTAGATCTAACCGGGCACAATGGCTCATGCCTGTAATCCCAACATTTTGGGAGGCCAAGGTGGGTGGATCACCTGAGTTCAGGAGTTCAAGACCAGCCTGGGCAACACAGTGAAACACCATCTCTACTAAAAATACAAAAATTAGTTGGGCATGGTGGCGCGCGCCTGTAATCCCAGCTACTCAGGAGGCTGAGGTAGGAGAATTGCTTGAACCTGGGAGGCAGAGGTTGCAGTGAGCCCAGATTGCGCCATTGCACTCAAGCCTAGATGACAGAGTAAGACTCGGTCTCAGAAAAAAAAGAAAGAAAGATCTAAAGGACATAATGAAATGATTAATGAAAATGTAATATCAAATGTGGGTTGAATAATAGTATTATACTACTGTTAAATGTCCTGATACATGTACTATGGTTATATATGAGAATGTCCTTGTTCTCTCTCTTTTTTTTTATTATACTTTAAGTTCTAGGGTACATGTGCACAACGTGCAGGTTTGTTACATATGTATACATGTGCCATGTTGGTGTGCTGCACCCATTAACTTGTCATTTACATTAGGTATATCTCCTAATGCTATCCCTCCCCTCTACCCCCTCCCCACAATAGGCCCCAGTGTGATGCTCCCCTTCCTGTGTCCAAGTGATCTCATTGTTCAATTCCCACCTATGAGTGAGAACATGCGGTATTTGGTTTTCTGTTCTTGTGATAGTTTGCTGAGAATGATGGTTTCCAGCTGCATCCATGTCCCTACAAAGGACATGAACTCATCCTTTTTTATGGCTGTATACACACTGAAATATTTAAGGATATGGGACACACGGTCTGCCATTCACTCTAAAATGATTTGAGAAGAAAACATAACTGTGTTCATATACACACATACAGAGAGTAAGCAAATCACAAAGCAATGAGAGAAAATAGAAACAACTGGTGGGCCTATGTGTAGGGTATATGGAAGGTCTTTGTCCTTTTCTACTACTTTCCTACAATTTTGAATTGTGTCAACATAAAATGTTACCAGAATAACTAGAGAGTCAAGGAAAGTTGCAATTCATCCTTCTCAGGAATCTGTACCAGACAATCAAGATTAGTACTAAAAAAAAATAACATGAACACAGAGATGAGAGAAGTGGAAACAAAGACAAAGAAAACAGGCATCTAGAATGAGCCTGGACTTGGGCTTTGGGCTGCTCTGCAGAGATCTATCCTGGAATTTGAGGTTTGATCACTGCACCTGAAAATGCCCCTTAAGCAAAGAGGCTCAGGCCGGGTGCGGTGTCTCACACTTATAATCCCAGCACTTTGGGAGGCCGAGGCAGGTAGATCACTTGAGGCCAGGAGTTTGAGACCAGCGTGGCCAACACGGTGAAACCCTGTCTCTATTAAAAACACAAAAAAATTAGCCAGGCGTGGTAGTGGGCACCTGTAACCCCAGCTGCTCGGGAGGCTGAGGCAGGAGAATCACTTGAACCTGGGAGGCGGAGGTTGCAGTGAGCTGAGATTGCACCCCTACACTCCAGCCTGGGGCACAGAGTAAGACTCTGTCTCAAAAAAAAGGGGGGTGGGGAGCTCAATATTTGACTAGGATGGCTCTACCAGCCTGTTGAATGTACTTAACAGAGGCACCAACAACTGTTCACTCTACCTTATCTCCACTTAGGCGGCCACAAGCCTCATTGATCCAGTGCCACAAATTAGCTAGAAAACACAAAGCAAGGATAAGGACTTCAAGTTATTATTTCCCACTTTTCTTTTAAATAAAGGTTATTATGTATATTTAAGGTATACAACATGTTACAGGACAAATATAGATAGTAAAATGGTTACTATAGTGAAGCAAATTAACATACCCATCATCTCACTTAGCTACCCATTTTTATGTGTGTGTGGCAAGATCCGCTAAAATCTACAAATTTAGCAAAAATCTTGAATATGATACAACATGATTAACTACAGTCCCCATCCGTACATTAGATTCCTGGACAACTTTCTTCATCCTGCATATCTGCTACTTTGTTTCCTTTGACCCACATCTCCCCATTTTCTTTCCCCCTGCCCCTGGTAACCATTGTTTTATTCTATATCTCTGTATATTTGACTTTTGGGGAATACTGCACATGTAAGTGCAATCATTCTAGATTTTTCTTTCTGTATCAGGCTCAGTATTATGACCACTAGGTCAGTTCAATATTATCTTTCAACAGAGTCCACTGCAAGTCTTTCAGTGAGCGCTCCTGGAAGTGAAAGCATTTAAAAGTAAATCAACTGATTTAAAGGCTATGAAGGGCCAGGCGCAGTGGCTCACACCTGTAATGCCAGCACTTTGGGAGGCCAAGGCGGGTGGATCACTTGAGGTCAGGAGTTCATGACTAGCCTGGCCAACATGGTGAAACCACATCTCTACTAAAAATACAAAAATTAGCCGGGCATGGTGGCACTCGCCTGTAATCCCAGCTACTCAGGAGGCTGAAGCAGGAGAATCGCTTGAACCTGGGAGGCGGAGGCTGCAGTGAGCTGAGATTGTGCCACTGCACTCCAACCTTGGCGACAGAGCGAAACTCGGTCTCAAAAAAAACAAAAAATAAAAAAATAAAGGCTATGAAGCCATCTTACTCCTGTCAAACACAGAACTTCCTGTTCTATGCAAAGCAAAACATGATCCACTAATGTTTCAGTGACTACCTCTGGGCACATTTGGGGGCTGTCAGAGCTGCTGCTATGACTATAGACATTCTCATTCCCTTAACAAGTTTTCTTTGGCTATGAGGGACTAAGTTAGACATCATAGAAGAACCAAAGAAAACATGTCTAGGAGACTGATTTTTCCAGTAAACTAGCTTGAATGTACTATAAAAGTGAGGCAAGCACAGCAAGCTAGGTGCCAGACCCACTGAGACCAGCAGGCCCCAAGACCTTTTCCACTATATCTGGCTGCTTCTCAGAAGAAAGAAGAATACGTTCAAAAACTACATCTCCACTCACTCTTACAGAAGTGATGAAACCTAAAAGGTTAAATTTTATGAATTTTAAGAAATCTATGAATTTATATTATGCAAAGATACAATTTTATCCTACTTCTAATGAACATTTAATGTTGGGCTCACTATAAAGACTAAAGTTAGGACTGGACCCGGTGGCTCACACCTGTAATCTCAGCATTTTGGGAGGCTGAGGTGGGCGGACTGCTTCAGCTCAGAAGTTTGAGACCAGCTTGGGCAACATGGTGAAACCCAATCTCTATAAAAAATACAAAAATTAGCTGGGCATGGTGGTGTGTGCCTGTGGTCCCAGCTAATTGAGGGGCTGAGGTGGGAGGATTGTTTGAGCCCAGGAGGGAGCTGGAGGCTGCAGAGAGCTGCACTCGTGCCACTGCAGTCCTGCCTGGGTGACAAAGTGAGACACTGTCTCAAAAAGCAACAACAACAACAACAACAACAAAAAACTGACTAAAGTTAGGAGTTGTCAGATTCTCCATGGGAAGATCATCACAGTTCAGTATAATAGCTAATGAGCACTTAAGCATGCCAGGGATGGTGCCAAGCAGTCTCATCATAAAATAGGGGAAATAATAGTGCCCACCTCATGGTGCTGTTGTGAAGATGTACTTAGTACATGCAAAATATATGTAGTCATGTTGGCACATATTATTTAATATATGTCAGCTATTGCTATCATCATCATTATTCTTGCGTCTTTTCTATCACTTTGAAATTATATATCAAGGTAAACTTACCTGCCCTCCCCCGACACCCCGCCAAAAAAAAAAAAAAAAGAGGACAATTGCAGCTGTTTCCTTGGAGAAATCAGTCTAGACAATCACAAATGGCACTAAAAATAAATACCTGTCCATGGAGCTGGTAAACATGCAGACCTGCCATGATCACCTCTGCCCTGGACAACTGCAAACAGCTTCCTAACTGGTGCGCCTGCATCTACACACACTGTACCACACATTTGTTTGGTACTCTAAAGCCAGAGGGCCGCCCTCGGTCCCTTTTGCTAAGGACAAGGAGCAAACTCCTTCAGCAGCCCTGCAGGGCTACATGGTCTGGCCGTGCCCTCCTCTCCAGCCTCATCTTCCACTTGGTCCCTGACTTTGTGCTACAGTGCCACTAGCTCCCTCCAGCCCGCTAATGCACCGTGCTCCCCTCATCATGCAGCTCTCAGGATAGAATGCCTGTGTTTCTCCTGATGTCCCTTGGCTAGCGAATTCTGACTTGTCTTTCAGATCTTAACTCACACATTTCCTCCTCTGGGAGGCCCTGGCTGGCCTCAGGGATGGGCTGACTTTCTGTCGTCTGCTACCTGGTGCTCAGCACCTTCCCTTGCACACTCAGCTTCCCTCCGTGGGCTTAACGCCTACACTGCCCACTAAGATGCTTCCTCCAGGACGGCACTGGCTGTGTCTATGTTGCTTGATATTGAGACCCCAGTGCCAGTCCAGTCCCTGATGATCAGTAAACACGTAAGGATGAATGGATGAAGAGAGAGCTAACAGTCATGACATCCAATCCAGTAAACAGCAGGCCCACATGGCAATAAAATAGTATCAAAAAGAAAAACCTAAAGAACCAAACATCAGGAAGTCTGTTTATCTCACATAAACATGACTACAAGTGACCTTCATCATCTGAACATGCGTTATCCAAATCCCCAGTAATGATGTTGTTAAGGAGGTGAAGTTGCACTAAATAAAAGCATTCAACAATGAACAGACTCTTTAAAAAATGGTCACCACTCGCCTGGGTGTGGTGGTTCATGCCTATAATCCCAGCACTTTGGGAGGCTGAGGCAGGTGGATCACAAGGTCACACCGTAAATTTCTTATTCAACTGATAACCTTATTTTTTATAATTTGAGGTTACTTC